CAAAAAATTGTTGAGGGACCAAAAATGTTCATTTCATAAAGTTTAGGGACCAAATTAAGTAATTAATACGGATGGAAAATTGGAAATGGTGAAAATGCTATTTTGGTCTCTTGATTTTAATCTTAATAGAAGTTTTTCACATGTAAAATATACAAATGTATAATAATTGTTAGAACTTAAATATCTTAATAAAAAACAAAATAATGTATTTTTTAAATTGAATTTATTATCTCATCAAGGATTGGATTTAACTAGTTATTGTAGATTAATTGTTTTACTTAATGATACATTATTAAATAATAATTATCTAATTTATTCTTATTATTAACCTACAAATAAGAGTTACATGATCATAAGTTTTATAAATAAGGCATGTCTTTTTGCTCTACTAGAGGAAGTTCTTCCACATTCTTCTACTTTCTTGTTATTATAAGACTGTAAAATCCTGAGGGTGACATGCTAAATATATCATCTTAAGGTAAGTAAACTTTTCACGTCTATTTTGATGATATTTTTTTATTAATATTTCTCAATAAATTCACTAATTAATATTTTATTTGAACTTGTGATTGAGGCACAATAATGACATGATGTGGAGATGGAGGAGAGTGCACGAGGATCAACAATTTTAAGGTGATTCAATATGCAAAACAAAAGTGAAATATATGAGGCCTTGTGTGAAAGTTGTTGAGAACCAAAGTGGAAAAGGCTTCGGGTAGATATATTCCGGAAACTTAAGTTAAATTTTTTAAGCTTGCACGACCGAGGAGCTATTTGTGGCAATAAAATGTGAGATGAGCTAATATGCTCTTATGAAATCTTGTGAGAAAATGAGTTTCTTTATGAACTCAATTATTTGAGAAATGTGAAAATCACATATTTGATATGCTCCCAATGTGGGGCATTGCGATATCCCTATGTATTATTTTTGGTGATGAGACCAATGGTGCCTAATTGAGATTTTGCATAGCATTCCTATCATACAATCAGGTATTATAGGGCTTAACAAAGAAAATGTAATATGCACTCCTATTATATAATAAGGTATAATGGTGCTTAACAAAATAAATGTGATGTGAATTCCTATTATACAATTATGGTATAATGGTGTATGATAAAAAAGAATAAAGCACTTTACTTGAATAGGAGGGGTATGTGATGGACATTCTTATTGTACAAAAAGGTACAATGGTATTTGAGTTAAAAATTCTTATATACATGTCTCTACATGTATGGAAAGAAAATGGTGGTTCACTAGTTCAATTTGATATCAAAATTGTAGTACCATGAATTGAGAATTTGAGAAATGTGAATGCAAATTTTATGAGCTAGTAGACATGTGGGTTGATGTGAAAAAGTGAGAAAAAAATTGAGTTAAATCTCTTATATACATAGTCCAAGGTCTAGTGCTCATCGAGGGGAATGAGATTCAAGCCCAATAATGTAGAACTTCCTATGAGGATAGCCAACCCGAATTTTGAGAATTGGGTTTTGAATGAGAAAAACAAATCGTAGAGAAGTCGTTGAAAGATGCATCAATATTTAATGGAAAAAATTTCCAATCCAATTCCTAAGGTGAGGATGCATCTATCCCATATCGAATTAAGGGTTGAGTTTTATACTTTTAATGAAATTTGTAGCTCATTGAGTGGGGTGTCTTAGTTATTGGAGCACTCTTGACAAATTTCACCTATGTGGGTGTCGAAGTAAGGTTGTTTCTACGAAAATTGAATAGACAATTTTCTAGATCACCCATGAAAATCGAGATCATGTGCAAGGCCATAATGCGCCAGTATTGTGAAAAACTCAACATTTGGATCATTATGTGTGTGATACGATTCTTACATCTTCCAATGGGATCATAGTTCAAGACATAGTTTACTATTGACTTTGGATTAAGAATTGTTGACTCACTAAGTAAAGGTTCAAGGCTAGTTGGCTTTATTATGCATAATAATTCATTTTTGCTCAAAAGAAATTTTTATTTTTTATTAAAATAGTGGGTGAATTGTTGTAACTTAAATATTTTAATAAAAAAATATTTTATAAATTGAATTTATTATCTCATTAAGGATTTGGTCAAACTAACTGTTGTAGGTTAATTGTCTTACTTAAGGGCACATTATTACATAATAATTGCCTAATTTATTCTTATCATTAACGTATAAATGAGACTTACATGACCATGAGTCCTATAAATAAAACATGTCTTTTTGCTCAACTAGAGGAAGTTCTCCATATTCTTTTACTTTCTTACCTTACTTTATCTTCAAAATATTTTTGGGCAAAGAAGGATGTTTTGAGTTAGGTGACTCTATGAGTAATGCAGGTTCATGGAGTGTTATTATAAGGCTGTAGAATCCTAGGGGTGGTATGCTAAATATATCTTTGCTGCACCGATTGATCTACATTCCATAGATGCGTGACTCACTTTAAAGTAAGTAAGCTTTTTACGTTTATTTTGTTGATATTTTCTTATCAGTATTTCTTGACAAGTTTACTAATTAATACTTTATTTGATCTTGTGATTAAGGCACGACAATAACATGATGTGAAATGGAGGAAGGTGTACAAGGAACAACAATAACAAGCATATAATAATAAATTTAATAAAATTAAAATCTATACTATATTTATATATTAATAATTATAATTTAATATTTTAACATTTTAAATGCGAATGTTATAATGTTGCCTTTTTTCAATTACTAATACTTAAAAAAAAAAAAGACAAAAAAGGCAAAGATCAAATTCCAAACACCAACACAACACGTTTTATTTTTCCTCTCCGTTAATGGATTCTCCTTTCCACTCATTCATCGTTGATACAAGTTCAAAATTGTAAGTCAGCAGTTGATGCTGAGTTGGCATTTGCAGTTGGAGGTTATGTTGACTATGTAGATGGTTAGCAAGTAGTTCATAGTTAGTTAGAATCAAGGTTAGACAGTTAACTCAGGTGATTAATCTTGATTAATCTAATTGTTTCTTGTAATCAGCCCCAAAAACATAACGGGATCGCTATGTAATCCTTCTTTGTTGATTGACGAATACAACAAGTAGAGCCTCTTTTCTCTTCTCTTGTTCTTCTTCCTTCCTGGGTTCTATCTTTTCCTTCCTTCTTGTTTCTCATATTTCTGGCTCTATCAATTGGTATCAGAGCCATGATTGCTTGGACTTGTGGTGCTAATGGCTACACAGGAGTTGAGGCGAGAGCTTGTTGAATTTGAGAAGAAACATGATGCGGACAAAGCAAATATCGACCTCAAGATGGTGTCTATGGAGAACACCTTAAAGACGTCAATCAAGAATACTAATACTTTGAGGGAGGAACCCACAAAGTTGATGCAGATAATCAACATTGGAAAGATTTCTTCGTTGGTGATCACCCAAACCTCCTAAGAACAAATGTAGCAACCAATTTGCTTGCACGGTAAGCTTACCTAAAAGTCGAAATACTATTGATCTTATAGCTAGTTTGATAAAGTTTGGTAAGGTGGATTTTCCTAGCAATGAAGGTATTGAGAATTTTAGGGGATGATTGTATAAGTGCAATATTAATGTTACATTTTTCTCAAAAATTTTCAGTTTTTTGTTTATTAATATATTAAAAGGTATAATAGTCAATTAAAATAAAAAAACATGACTTTAATAATTAAGAGTATGACAATAATATCATTCCATAATGAAGAGGGAGAAAAAAGGACTTTTCTATGTTTGATTTTGTATGCATCCAAGTTCGAGATTTTTCTACTAACATTGTTGTTTTTTCATGCCTAGCTTCCTTCATATGAGTAGCTCTAATATTGTTGAAAAAAATAAAGATTCACACTTTATTTAATTTTACAAATATTATATAATCACTATTCAAAT